ATTGATAAACTGTTTGCTCCTATTAACAAGTCTTCATACCACTGTTAATAGTAAATACACCTCTTTCATAATTGATCGTACTTAATTCCTTCTACATATAAACCCTTGTACTGTAATTATTTTATCTTGAGATTAGTAATTCTTATAGTTATACTTAGTTTTGTTTATTAGTTTTAGTATTATTTTACCCCATTGTCTTTGTAAATTGTAGAAGGTTTACACAGATAACAAGGTCCTCTTTGGTTCGTCCTGCATATGATGGATGTCCAATTTCTGGATCCTCTATTATTATTATGCTCGATTCTTGTGTGGGATATTTATTTATCGTGCTAGTTTACAAATGGTATATTATGTACGAAAATCATTTTAATAGAGGAGCTAGTGTCTCTGACACATAAAAAATGCTAATAGAGTTTATGAGAGAAATTGAAGTGGCAAAGCCACGAGTCTCTGACTCAAAACATGTGGAAACATGTGTGGATAAACTTGTTGATCGATTTCGTATCACATAACTCATATCACGGGAAAAAAATGATTATAGATATACATATAATTCAGAATAATCGAACACCCCCACTACACTATCTTTACGTATATTCTTGACTATAACAAATCTATTCCCAGGATCATATGTATGTTCATATTTGATGGTTAGTCTTAGGAACTTGGTAAAAAATTGATTCCCGTTGTATCAAATCAATCTGAAGACGGGTTGTGCCACCAATCAGCTCGCCAAGCTTGTAAGCCAATAGGCTTATATTGTGACAGTATCTTTAATGATAACACTAATGATTTTTAAGTTTATTATCATATTAATTAATTATTATTTAATATTATTATCAACTTTGATCAGAAGATGCGAAAATAATTAATTGTTATGCTTACTCAACTAAGACTTCTTTTTGAAAATGAATCTAACAATTAAACGATATGAAACATCGATCAATTAATTTTGAAGTATGATTTTCTTATATCAAAAAAAAAAATAATTTAGAGACTTGAATCACATTTCTATAATTGTTTAATTTAAAACAGTTTAGAGTATAATTTGAGACACGAATTATAATACAATTTTAAAGTATTCGGTTTACATTTAAAAAAATTAAAGACAAGGTAAATATTCCATTGAATCGTTGATTTTTTAGTTAATCTTCATTAAAAAAAAATTTTTGATGTCAAGATAAAAAACTTTCACTAAACGTAATTGATTTTCAACAATCTTCATGTGACCTTCGCTAAGATTTTAAATTATGCTGAAAAGACAAGAAAATTAAGAATAAAAATATGATTTTATATCGAAGGAAAAAACTTCCGACATTTAATGTAACAATATTCAATTTCATTAAACAATTTCAATTATTTTTATTTTACATAAAAATAAGATTTTATTATATTCAAAATTTTGAAAACATGAAAGGCAAATTAGAACCATCACATCACATGGAATTCCTAATATGTTCGTGCAGTTGATCTACTTGTATTTTCGCATTTTTCTATCTTAAAATCTGATGAAGAGATGATACTTCAAGTTGATATAAAAATATTATTATTATTTAGTAAAATAATTTAGGAGATAATAATAAAGATTTTCTGGTTTATATAAATTTTCTCTTATATACTTAAGAACGCGTGTATTTACATGCATAACCGTATTATGAAAGAATTATGATCGTATGAAAGCTTGGATTATATTTCTAATTTAATCACTAATTTCATTTTTTTTAAAAATTTTAGAATAAATTCTTTCGTTCAACGATCATCATATTTTTGATTTAAATCAATATTAATTCTGGAAGATAGTCCAAATTTCTTCTTACAAATGTAATTTAATTGTGACTAGGGATGTAAACATATTGCCGTGTCCTAATGACCTATATGTCGTAACCCTAACTTTTAAATGCCGTGTGGTCGGATGCCGTAAACATGATCGCGTCGTCACTATGGATATATTCTATAACTATTGGTCAATGTCGTAATTATAGTCATTTGCCATAAGAATTATAAGTCATAACATTCTATGATTATTTTAATATAAAAATTAGATATACAACCGCGCGATTGAAAGTTTTATATTAAAACACATTTGACAGCATATGATATACGGTTGTGGTTATGTGTACCCCTCCTGACGTACTCAAAATTCATCTAAACCAAATTACATTACATTTGCAAATAACTAGAGCAACCAAATCTAATAATTACGTGTTAATTTATGATTATTATAAGGTTTATTCATAGATCACGTTATTAAAGACTTCAATAGTACGAAGTCATTTATTTTATGTGTATGGAAAGAGGCACTATCTTGCAATTAAAGTCACACTTATCTAGTAGTAAACATAACTGAAGGTAAAGTTTTGAATATTTAGATAACAAATATAATTAATTTTTCTATCAAACTTGATGTGATCTGGTTATGTCCTGATTTGGCAAAGAAAACACTGATTGATGTGGAAACTATGAACTGTTTTTCCGTCAAGGTATATTATGCGTTTAAATTCATATTTGTTATAATGATAATGACAAATACATTGAAATTGACTGGTGATTCTCATAAATTTAAATTCAACAAAATAAAGAAAGATGCAAATAGATTTAGTAAATGTAAATAAGTTTTAATGGCGACTCGAATTTCAATTCCAAATAATCATTTCTTGATAATTAATTTATTCTCGGTGCCAAATTCAATCTTCTCCGAATTAATACATATTAGTACCCGTGAAATGAATAACAACAACAAATAAGCCAAAAATAGTAACTTTAATTAGTTAGCTTCTTTTATTTTCTTACATAAAATTTTTCTTTGTAGAAAATCCTTTCTTCAATAGTATGAGAAAATATATCGGTTGATAAGAAATCGGGTTAAAGAAACCTTTGATATGATTTGTTATAAAATCTAATGGCAATAACCATATTAAATTTTGTTTTTTTTTTTGCGTTTGATTGTTTCTTTTTATGGCAAGCTTATTGACATCTAATAATTAAATATTGATTAACAATATATAATTTTGGGTCACAAAATGCATCTCTGCGCATAAAATAATTTAAGAAAAGTAAATCGCATTTATTAATGATTAATTGAAAGAGAGATTAAGAGATTGCAATATTAAAAATTTTATGATGGGGCAATAAAATAAGAAAGGAGATGAAATAAGCAAGATATATGCACAAAGAGATGCCTTGTTTTTAATATGCATATAATTGAGCCATTGAAAAATGTACTATTGATAACATAAAAGGAAACATTATACAGTTAGTTAAACAAACATAAACTTTTCTAAAAACAAATTTTTATATAAAAAGGATCTTTAAAGTTTTTTTAATTTTTTCTCGCATTTCATTTTTTTTTCATTTTTTTCTTCTTTGTTTTAATAACTTATTAAAATTTTAAAATTATAATCGTGTAATTAAATTATTAAAAATGAAAAGAATAAAAACTGCATTTAATTCTGATAAAAATAAAGACCATGATAATGATAAAGAAAAGAAAAGGTCCAATACCCTTAAATATGGGAAGCTCATAGCGAGAGAAGTTTATGATACTACTAGTATGTTTAAAAACTACATACCTTTATTTGGTTCAGTCCTTGAAGTAATGGATCATATAATTGAATCGTATGATGATGTTCAACATAACGAAAAGTTATGTCTTGTTATGGTGGATAGAGTTGAAATTGTGAAAGCATCAGTTTCAAGATTAATACGCCATTATAAAGAAGATGAAAATAAGTTTCGTAAACAAGATTATTTTAAAGCATTTGTTCGACTTGACGAAACTTTGAAGAATATTAGAGCATTTATTGCTGAAGTTTCGAGTTATTCAAACTTCCGAAAAACCCTTTTTCGTAAAAATATTAAAGAAGATTGTCAAGATCTTTTAGATAGATTAGAATATACTTGTAATGCTTTACAATTCGGAATAGTTATATCCGAAGCAGATAAACAAAAAGAAGAAAAATATTTAACTGAAGCTATGAAAAAAGCACTTCAGGTAAGATATCTTATTTGTTATTGTTTTATTGTTTTACTGTATATTATATTTTCTTTTATTAACGTTTACATATATTATTTTTTTTTTAAATGTTGTGTTGTAGGAATTGGGAGTTATAAAAAATAAACAAGATTATTGGGCATCTTTGGTTCAAGTAAACGAAATAAAAAAACAAAAAATTGAACATGTAAAAAAGATTGAGCCCGCCGAATTAAGCGATGGTTTGTTTGAAAATTCTATCGAAACTCGAGGAAAAATAATTAAGAAATATTTGAATGTAACTATTCCCGTAGCTTGTAAACCAGTTAATTATGAACCTGATTCAGACGAGGGAAATAAAGATACTGCAAAAATTGAAGAAGAAAAGAAGTTTAGAAATAATTTAACTATTTTAAGTAAATTACACTCTTCTGATAAAATTATCCGATTTCATGGAATTTCATCTTTAAATGGAAAATGTTTTTTATTATTTGACTGGGCTGAAAAAGGAAATTTAAAAAACTTATATGAAAATGGAGTTATTCCATGGAATACTAAACTTAAATATGCTAAAGATATTTCTGAAGGATTATTCTTTTTACGTACAATGCAAATCTATCATCACGACGTGCGATGTGAAAATGTTTTGGTAATTATATAATCTTTTTCGTAATTATAATTTTACCATTATTAATAAATAGAAATTAAATATATTATTTTTTTTTTTTGTTTAAAGATTACGTGTAATGATGGAGCTATGACAGCAAAACTTGCTAATTTTGAACTTAGTCGAGAAACCACTTGGATTACAAGTGTAGTTGAAAACATTGCAGTATTAATTCGTTGGATGGCTCCAGAAAAAATTGATGATAAAGGAAATTCAAGTACACAAATATATTATTCACCCGAATGCGAAGTTTATAGGTATATTAAATCATAAGTAAATAAACAAATATAAATAAATATATAAAATAATAATAATATATTATTATTATTATTTCTATTATAGTTTCGCATTGACTCTTTGGGAACTTTCATTCCAAAAATTTCCATATATGGATATAGAAGTAGATAAAATTTATCATCATGTTCTAGACGGTAATCGAGAACATTTAAATTTCCCCAATGAATCTAAGGATATTACAGGATGTTTTAAAACTATTATCGAAAAATGTAAGTTAAAAAAATAATAATATCCCTCCCAAAATAAATAGAATCTTTATAAATCATAAATAATTAATATTTATTGTTTATTTATTTTATTTATAGGTTGGAAAAAAGAAGCAATGCAAAGATTAAAGATTAATGAAATATATATTGAACTCAAAAAACTTTTGGAAAGACAAAATAATCAAAATAATGAAATTTCGCCACCTAATTCTGAATTAGGGGTAGGAGAAAGTACTAATAAGAATAATGAAATTTCACAAAATAACCACAATAACCACAATAACCAAAATAACCAAAATAACCAAAATAACCACGATAATAATGATGATGATGATCTCGATTTTGAAGATGGTACAACAACTTTTGAAGAAGTATTAAAACTTGAAGATGCTATCACAAGGTTTAAGAATGAAAAAAGAAAAAAAGAGAGAGATGCTGGAGAACTACAGAAAATTTTGAGATGTTTTGAATTTTATGTTTCTATTGATAATACTGTTGCATTATATTGGAAAGCAAATTATCATGAACATATTGAAAGAGATGAATTTCAAGCTTTAAAACTTTATAGAGAAGCAGCTGATAAAGGAAATTCCGATTCCCAATGTCTATATGCTATGAAGTTAAAGGACAAGCAACATCCGGAACTTAACTCTAAAATTTTAGATTATTTTAGAAGATCGGCTGAACAAGAAAATGAAAGTGGTTTATATTTGTACGGAAAAGCATTATACGAAGGTATGTATGGACCAGTAGATCATGAAAATGGGGAATATTTTTTGAAATTAGCAGCTGTAAAGGGAAATAAAAAAGCACGAGAATATCTTGAAAAACGAAAAATATCATATCTTTAGTTTGTAATTATGTATTTTATATATATATATACAATATTATTAATCACATGAATAATTTTGTATTTAAGTTAAATTTAATAAATTTAATAAATTTTAATCATAATAAAAGTTTATAAATATTTAAAAACGAAAATCCAATAAATCCTATATATAATAAAGTTATGCATCTATAGATATGCATCATGCATACCAGAAATTTTATTTATGATACACTTAAATTATTGTAAATTTATTAACTTTTTCTTTCTCTTAAATTTATTTCACATGAAATAAAGTTAGATAATTAATAATATATTTTTTTTTAATTAATAAAATTAGTTAGATAATAGATAATATAATTTATGATAATAAAAATAAACTAATACATAATAAATTAAATAATAATGTCAAATACATTAATTCCATTAGGTGAACATGTAACTCACATTTTATTAGCAGAATTTGATATTGATAAAGGTTCTTCTTTAACTCATCAATATCCTTTTGCAACTGGTACAGATGAACAGTAAGTTTTTTTTTTTTTTTTCATTTATATAATTTATATAATTATATCTTTAATGTCATTTATAGATGTATATATATGTATAAAATGTATATGATATATAAATCATATAAATGACAATAATTATTATAAATGAAAATAATTATATAAAATGTATATATAACAAATAAAATAAAAATATATGTATATTGACATAAAATAAAATCGTTGATAAAAGCTTATTAGCAGAATTAATGTTACCAGATGGAGCACATTTACGTACAGAAGATTGGACGGTATTCTTTTTAAATCAAAAAATTCCAGATCCCGATAAAATTTCAATAGAAAATATAGAAAATGAAGAAAATTTCATAAATAATTTACTTGACAAATCTCAAAAAGATAATGAACAAGAAAAACCTTTACTTTACGCTTTAAATTTAGTAAGGACAAGGCATGATAAAGAAGCTAGAAGGTGAAGATTACTTTAAAAATAAATGTTGAAAAAAAAATAATAAAAATAATAATAATAAATTATTTTAAAATAATGATAATAAAAATAAAGTATTTTTTTATTTTGATTAGAGGAGCTGTTGTGAAAGCCATGGCGATTTGTACTAGACATCAATATTTGCACATATATAAGGTAATTATTTTTTTTTTTCATTATTTTCATTAATGATTTTAATAAAACTAAAATAATGATTTAATTAAATAAATGATGATTAATTAAATAACAATAAAATTAATATTTAGCCGGCTCTTTTATTAGCATTAGATAAATATTTTCAAGAACCATCAGTAGAAATTCTTGCATCACTTTATAAAGCAGTAAATTCAATGGATTGTAATTATATGCCAATATTTAATGCACATGAAAAAGCAATATTAAGAGCATCAGAGAATAAAGATATGTTTGAAGAAAAATTTATACCTTATGAAAATAGTAAAAAGATGAATAAAAAAAAATATCAAAATAGTGATGATGATAGTAATAATAATAATAATAATAATAATAATAATAATAATAATAATAATAATAATAATAATAATAATAATAATAATGAAAGTAATAATAACGAACAACAATCTCCAAATGAAATTTCAACCGGAAAAGAAGAAAATAATATATATATGAATAATGAAGATTTTATACCAGTCAGTGAAGAAGAGAAAGAAAAATTAGAAAAGGAACGATTAGCAAATTTGAAGAAGGGAACATATATTGATTTAATGCCAAACTTAAATAAAAATAAGGATAGACATTTCTTGGAAACGAAGATTGTATATAATGGAATTACATTACCAATTAGAGTTCCACTCACTGTAAATCCGGAAGAAGTTGGTGATGTAAGTTAAAAATTATATTAATTATATTAATTAATTATTATTAATTTATTAATTTATATCATTATATACTTTAATAAATATATATAATGTATAATATATATATATAACTATATTACATATATTTCATAAATTATAGTTCACATTGATAAAATTAATAACAACATTTTCACCCTCATCTCCTACACCATTTAATCATGCGTTTCATCCACATTTGGATTCAAGTGGAAATCAAACTCATCCAATAATTTTATTACTTAATGCATTACTTACACAAAAACGAATTATATTTTTGGGACAAGGACATCCATCGGGAGACGTAGCAAATTATGTATTATCAGCTTGTGCGATGGGAAGTGGAAGTGGTGGAGTATTAAGAGGATTCACCGAAAGAGCATTTCCTTATACCAATTTGACTAATGTTGATGATTTACTTAAAGTGTAATTAATTATTCTATATTATTTGATTATTTGATCATTTGATCATTTGATTATTTGATTATTTGATTATTTGATTATTTGATTATTTATTCATAATTATTTATTTAAAGACCTGGGTTTATCGCGGGAGTAACCAATCGAATATTTGAAGATCATAGTTCATGGTGGGATGTTTTATGTAATATTGATACAGGAAAAATTACGGTCAGTAAAGATATTTCCACACCTTCATATGGAACAAAACCTGATGAAAAGATAGAAGATGGGGCGAGATCACCTTCATCATCCAGTAAAACGGATTCATGGGGAAGTAAAACTGAATCTTGGGGTAGAGAGAAATGGGATACTACTGATAATGAATTTATGTCTGAGGTAATTTAATAGTTTGTGATAATATTTATTAATAATATTATTTATTAATAATAATAATATATTTATTAATAATATTATTTATTAATAATAATAATATTTTAATATTAAATAAATAATTAATAATAATAATTATATCAATTTTAAATAATTGATTATATCAATTAAATTAATAATTAAGGTAATGCACGCAATTCAACATCATTATGGAGAAACAGCAATACGTAGTAAATTCCAAGAATATGTACAAAGATTTGTTCGATTAACCGCTTTATATGAAATTGAAACTTTCGGATCAACAAAAATTGGAATGATGCCAGAGAATACGAATCATGCAGGTGTACTTGGAACGGGATTAGCATTTCATGATGAAAATTCGAAATTAAGAGAAGTTGCAACTAATGTTAATAGAATTGAAGGATGGAGACAAACTTTATCATATAAATATTATCAATTGGTAAAAATCTACAATTATTTATTATTATATTTTATATTATATTATATTATATTTTTTATAATTATAATTTACAACATTATATTTATTTATTTATTTATATAATTTATGTAATAATTTTTATTTAGGATTTTCAAATGTACTTAAAGACAAGAAGCATTAAAGCAATTGATGTATATCATCAAGTAGCAAAATTAAAGACATTAAAAAATATGCCTGAAGAAGAAGTAGAAACACTATATAAAGCATTTTCTACAAATGTTGTGACTGATGAACAAATTATTGAGGTAATAACATAATATAACAATTAATTTATATAACAATTAATTTATATAACAATCAATTTATATAATATAATATTATAATAATAATAATAATAATATATATATATATATATTATATGTATTTATAGTTTTTATCATATTTACCACAAAATCAAGGAGGATTATTTCCAATTGGTCTTGGCCTTTTTTATCCACTCAAATCAGTTCGAGATTATACTGTTGAATTATTTCAAAGGATTGGTGAACATACTGTAAGTTTTTATTAATTCTTTTCCCATTAAATTAAATAATTAATTAGTTTTTAATTTTTTAATTTTTAATTTTATTTACTTTAGACTGGAAGTAAATTTATTCAAAGTTTAAATAATTTTCAAAAATTATCATATGAAAGATTAATTGCTCAACGAATAGAGAAACAACAACAAAAGGAATTGGTTAATAAGATTCCAAATGAAAAAATGGATTACTCAGTAGATAAATAATTACCTATTTATTATTATATTATTATTATTATATGTATTATTTAATTATATTATTTAATTATATTAATTATTTACTGTATTAATTATTTATTAATTATTTATTATTATATATTATTATTTATTGTATTAATTATTTATTATTATCTATTATTATTTACTGTATTAATTATTTATTATTATCTATTATTAATTATTTATTATTATGTTATCAGTTCAGTTATTTATTTATTGTAAATAATTAGAATATAATTGCATATCAATTTTTTATCTTTATAATAATCAATTAATAGAAATAAATCATAATAATAATTTATTGAAATTTTATTAACATTGATTAAAATTTTTATTAATGTTTTCAGATAAAAATAAATAATAATAAATAATAATAAAATAATAAAAAAATAAATAAAAAAATAAATAATAAAATAATAAATAATAAAAAATAATAATTAATAAATAATAAATAATAATAGTAATAAACTTTTAAACTTCACCATTTTTAATTGTCTCTTTTAATACCACTTCAAATATTTCATAATCATCAATCTTTAAAGATTTATCATCAACAGGCATAACATTTGGTACATAAGTTTTATGTTTAAATCTAAGATTACTATTTTGCATTAATAAATCAAATTTTCCAAATGATGGACCACTTGATCTCCAACAATTTAATGCATATGCGTGATTCTCTACATCTCGTAATCTCGCTATTTTACCTTGATAATAATTATAATTATTATTACTATTATTATTGTTATTATTATTCACATCATTAATTGTAATTCCTTGAGTAAATGAAAATATAAATGATCGATCATTTCTCTTATATTGTGGCCATAAAGTATTATACCAAACATCAGGATTATAACCTCCTACAAATATATCATAATCTTGAAGTTTAAATAAAGATATTGTACCTCTCTTTCCATCACATTTAGAATGAAAAGTTTTAGCACTAAATCCATCTCTACTTCCTCTCACTAATAATTTAAATTCATAAGGAATTTCGGATCGAGAATATGGTTTAAATACGTGTTCTCTATTTCCATTATTATTATTATTATTATTATTATTATTATCATTATTATTATTATTATTATTATTATTACCGTTATTTCCATTAATATTAATACCATTATTTCCATTATTTCCTTCTTGATTATTATTATTAATTATATCTTTACGATCAATCCAACTGGCAATTATTGCGGCATGATCTGAACTCATTATTGTTGATATTGCTGCTCCTCGATTTGGTAATTTCTTTTTCATTGACATTTTATATTTATTTGCTAATTCCTCAATCTCAATCGTTGATCCATTTGATCTATTGGATCTAATTGATCCGTTTGATACATGTGATCTATTACTATTATTACTATTTAAACTAGTACTTGAATTATTATTGTTATTGTTTGTATCGTTAATATTATAAATATTATAAATATTATTAATATTAGGAAAATATTCTAGAATCTTATCATATTCTGTATCGAGAATTCCTTTATGTGGTAAAACATTTTCAATAATATCATTTATACTCATATTATGAAATCTAATGTGTTTAATACAATTCTTAAGGGTTATTCCTAATGCTGCATAATTTTTTACTGAAATATTATTAATAATAATATTCTTATCACCATCATTATTATTATTATTAATTTTGTTATTATTATTATTAATGTTATTATTATTATTAATGTTATTATTATTATTATTATTATTAATGTTATTATTATAATTATTACTATTAACGATTCCCCATTTTAATAATTTTTTCCAAATTTCAATTTCTTCCATTTCTAATTTATCATCTTTAATTACTGCTATCAACGCTTGTTCACTTATCATATTAAAATCTTCCGAATCAAATAATAAATGCGGATATTTCTTAATTCGATCAACACTAAATTCTTGTAATTTTCTCATCGAATCTAATCCAAAACTATCTCGATAAATTAATACCAAATTTTCTTTTAACCAAGTAATCTTATTATTTAATAAATAATCTTGTGAATAAAAAAGAAATTCTAAAATTCCTAATTCATCCGCTGCCTTAATACAATCAAATATAATTGATGGATCTAAATCTTCTTGAAATTCAATCTTTCCTCCGTAAATATATCTAAAAATAAATAAATAAATAAATAAGTAAAAAATAAGTAAAAAAAACAAAAAAACAAAAAAACAAAAATAAAGAATATTTAATAATACATAATATATATAGATAATATAATATAAATAATATATAATGATAATATATAAATGTAAACTGTAAATATTTACTCTAAAATAATAGCAAAAACTTCAGGTTCGATATTTGGTTTTGAAAAACGTATCTTATCGTCTTCTCGACGTATCCAATTAGTTGATAAGAAAGTTTTAAAATAATTGGATCTCACTCGAAGTATATTTGAATGAACATAAAAAGTTTTGGTATAGGGTTCCTCTCCAACTATAATTATCATATCATGATCTTGATTTTCTTTAATTAATTTTGATAAATCTTTTGCCAAAATTTCATAAAATTCTGCTGAAGCTGATAACATTTTTTATTATTATTTTTTTTTTTTAAAAAAAAAAAATAGGTCAAAACTCCGCTATATATACATTTGATATTGTGATATTGTACTCAAAAAATGATCGAACTATTCTAATTTAGTTGTATATCAAATGATAGTGCATCGCCATGTTTATGTATGATTATCAGATTTTTTACATTATTGAATTACTTAATTATATCATCTGAATTTCTTAATTTTCATGTGAAATTAAAAATTTCTCCATATTTTGCTATATCAGGTTTCTCATATATTAATGCATTTATTTGTGGGGGAATTTTAAATCTAGATAATATTTTAATAGTACAATTAATAATTTTATTATTTTAATGCAAAACAGTAAATAAATATATATATATATTTTCATTTTATTTACCAGGAGTATAATCAAATCCATTATGAAATCAAATATCGGTAGAAATGGACAGAGAGAATTCTTTCGTTTTTCCAAAATTTTAATATTATCGTTAAACTTTCTAATGAATTAATAAATATTTTATATTTCAATTTAACTTTGAAAATTTTCTAAATACCATAATTTATCCGAATATCTGTAGTAAAATAAACGCAATAACTCTATAATACGAAGTTGACCTCCACCATATATATTTTATTATAAAATCAAAAATTGCATTTTCAGTTTTCTTCACTCTACTAAGGGTTGAAAATGATTATAACCACTTAAAATTTCATCAGTCCCTTTTAGCTTTGAAATTACAATTATATCCTAACATGACCATGGTATATATTCAAAAAAGTTTTTGGGGGTGAATTCATCTTTACTTCCTCATAAAAATTAAATTGAAAATTCATATGGATAATTTGTTAAAGAATGAGTTGAATTTTTACGTACGACCAAAATTTCTGCATTTCTTTTTCCTGAATAGGTAATTCTTGAATAAAAATTAACCACTCTGGTAAAATAATTGATTTCGTTGGTTGATGGGATACAAAATATTTCCCAAATTTGTTTATCAAGAATTTTCTTTTATTTTACTTTTTTTTTTATGATATCATTACCAGGAATATGAAAATATCTTATATGTGGTAAACAATGTTAGAGAGTAGTCTTCAAAGTTAAAAAATGGGTTCTTATCAAGGTTAATAGATAAAATAGGATTCTAAGCAATTCCCCATTTTGATTGCATATTTCCAAATTTGAAATTCATTTGAGAAGAGAGAGATGTAAAATCTTCGGTATCAAAAAAAATAATACCTTGTAACAATATTGGATAATTTGAATAATTTTTTGAATTCAAATTTATTATCAAGTCAAAAAAAAAAAAAATAAATAAATATTCTCTAAATTAATTATAAGTGTAAAATTTACTTTGAATGATATTTATTTAAAAGTCTTAACGAAAATAAGGTGTCAGCATTAATAATTACATATAATCATATGTAATTATGTAAATTATCTAAATTCAATATAATGTGACTTCATTATGATAATGGTAAAAGTTTTTTATATTAAATAATAGTCAATTTTCAAACTTACATAATAAGATATTTGATAGATTTTGATCCGATATCTGTAGAAAGAGCGGCAAAAGGCTTGGCATGCAAAACATTATAGTTCTGAGCATTGTCCCTTGCTACACACGCAAAATATTCCCAAAAAAGGAAACATAAATGATAATGTCCTTTGTATCCTAACTAAGAAAAAGATATATTTGATCGTATGAATTTCTTGATAAAGAATGACTACATATCCAATTAATAATCTGATCTTCCTCCAATAATATAATAAAATCTCATAATTCATGATCACACATTCAAATACATCTATCAATCTCCAAAAAAACTAAATATTTTCTCTCCCGAGTTTTAAGAACAATAACATAAAAACCTTACTTTTATTGTCGAATTATTAGAATTGGTATTAGAATTATTGCGTTGAAAAATCACTATAATAATAAAAGATTTAATGGATCTATAACAGATTCATGAAAAAGAGTCAAATATGATCTAATAAGAAAATTGATATAAACAAAAGTTTTGTAAAAAAATCAATATATTGAAAAAATAAAAATAAAGTGATGACAAACTTCGATTAAACGACTCTTCGAATATTTCAATTGTATGAAAATCTTTATTGAATAAAAAATAAACATGAGAATAAAAGAATTGATAAAACTAATATTAGATAAAAACAGATAAAAAAATTATTATTTACAATAACACAAAAAAAAAAAATTATTTATTATTTGATAAATTTCATTATCAATAAATAAAAAACTTCGCAATTTCGCGAAATTTGTGCATTTATTATGCACACATTATAAAATGAACTATCATAGACACAATAGAACAATAAGAGTCATAACATACATAAGAGACTTAATGCACACAATGCACATAAACAAAGGATTTATGGGATTAATTATTCAATTACAATGAAAATTGTTACCTTTCTCGAAGAATAAGTCACAAAAAAAAAATATTAGGTCATTGTTGTTAAAAAAACATAACGTAATATTTGTCAAGCACGTAATTCATTCTCTTTACAGTAATTACAGGATGTGTATTCAACGCTATGAACTTAAACACAAAGGACCCGAATTTATTTGACAACTGTAGCCAAAAAACGGAGATTCAAAATTCTGTCTGTTAGAAGCATCACTATGTTGTGAAGTAATTTAATAACTCTTTTATAGAATAATTGTTCTTTGAAAAAGAATATTTGCTTCGAAATTGAAAAACACGCGTAACCACCATCTTGGCGTAAATGCTGCATAATTTAATTCGGGCAAATAAAATTTTATTTTTAAATTAAATCAAAATTCACCGAGAATTAATAAAATATATAAATGCATATGCTTTCTTATCTATGCATTGAAAATCATCTTTCAATGTTTCTATTTTTAAAATTAAAATTATATAAAGTTACATATGAAAGTATGATTATTTTATTTATTTATTTCTCGCTGCCTTATCATTATCATATGGAAAGCGCGATTGTTTTTGTTTTATTCATTTTCATTTCAAATAGAAAAGATTTGCCAATTATTTATTTGGCACCTTTCGAATATTGAATGATTATAAAATTATTTAAAGTATTTAAATAATGTAAATTTGATTTCCTCATGCCTTACCTTCCAACCCAACTATGCTATGTTTTGAAAGAAATGTTTCGTGAATTCTATGTTTCTTTCGTGATTCAATAACAAATAAGATAAAAATATATATATATATATATATATCATTTCGGTTATTATTCAAAATTTACCATAGTGATGGTCAGTAAGGTAACCTTAGTCTAGTTTTCAAGATAATTTCATTTAGGATAACGGGTCATAAATTTTGTTTGTTAATCGATTTCTTTAACAAATATTTCATTATAGAATATGAAAAACTCTTTGTGAGTTTCGTCGATTCCGAAAAAGTTTTACCCCAAACGAAATAATTATGTTTTATGCGTTTTATACTATTTATAATTTCAGAAAGGCCTCACGGTTAAAGAAACATCTTTTATAAAACTTGGATCATCGATCGTCGTTTATATGTGCGCCCACATATATTTATTCATTCATTTACATTTGTTTTCGTTTTCGTTTTTCGTTTTCCAAATTTTTCATATTTTTTCATATACCTGTACATTTTATTATTTTTTTTTTTGTTGAAAATATATTTTTAATACTTGTGTGATATGAAGTAGGAAATTTCTTTAAAAAAGAAATAAAAGAATCATGATAAATTGAAAAAGAATCATCAGGGTTTAATTATAAATTTTACTAAAAAAAAAAAAAAAATAGAAACCACAATTTTTTTTCGAAAAGAAATTAAAAGTTTTAATCAATTAATTAAAAAATTAATTATTAATTTTATGTAAACATAATCGGTAGTTTGGATTGACAATAAATTAGAATGGAAAACAGAATATACAAATGTATATATGCAATACTTACTATCATTATGCACAAAAAAATTTCATTTTAAAGAAATTAAAAATTTAGATAAGAAAATAGAATTAAAAAAAAATTTTTTTTTTTTCAAAAAATGATTTCTTCATTTATCACACGTGAGATATTTTTCAATGCCCCAAAATTATTATTTACATAAAAAGAAGCAATTTCGGATATCCATTAATAGCAAATATTTCTTTGTATATTATAATGACAATTAAAAATCGATGCATACACAAAAATGATGTACCTTATCCTCTCCCTATTTTCTTTCACGATTCTATGATCCCTTCTTTTTTTTCACAAATAATGAGGATTGATATCCTAAAATGGAATGAACGTATAAATATTTATTATTAATTTCGAATAAAAATAAAAAAAAAATTAAATGCAACCTCAATTGGATGTTTTCAAAAACTCCACTTGCAGTACCTCTTGATCTTTTTAAAATCTTAATGCTTAATATGTAACTAATCTTGTTCTTATGCCCTTTGATAAGAACAATTCTTTTTCTTTTTTGAATATAATATTACCTCAAGTGGCATGCGTCCCTAAGCCCGGGATGCAATCGCGCTTATTATTATTATAAAAAAATAAAAAATAAAATATAATTATATAATAAACTATGTAATGTACCCAGGTCATCGATTATTCATCATTATGCAGATTTCGGGTCAACTATTTATATTGTAATAAATACTTATTGAGAAAGGTGGGCTTTTTTTTCGTCATATGATATAGAATTAATGTCTTTTTCTTTTCTAAATAAAATATAATTAATTAATAAATAGAGAATAAATTTAAAAGATCAATTTTTTTTTTAAAAAAAAAATAAATATTGATTTTATGATTTTATAATAGAAAATATATTCTCTTATGTGAATGACAAGTGGTAGCGACAATAAGAATCTCATTCCCTACTTTGGTGAGTTGAAAAGAAATTATCTTTGTCCCCTAGTTTAGTTTAAATATAATAAAAAGTAAAACATATTAAAAATAAAA